CAAACATGATCCAGAACTTTGTTTTATCTGAATAGGCACATGAACACAAAATGATGGATACTAGAGCACAGAAGATCGTTGTCTTATACATTAAGTTCCATTCCATGACATATATGTTGTTTGGTATTAGCCCTAAGTGAAAGGAAGATAATGGATCCTGTGATCTATTCAGATAATATTAATTCCAAGAGATATGTACCCCAAGGGTCCAATAACCTTCACTCTTTGATGTTATTGTCACAGCTAAGCAGGAAAGGTGACAGTCCACCAAATGGCTTGGTGTAGTGGAAAAGTTATGCCCTGGCACAGTCACTAAATATCCTCCCTGCACAGTCCTCTATGGTTTCAGCTGTTTTTATTCTCATTATATGCCAGAAAGTTTAGGTTCCAAATGTGGCCTGCATACAGAAATATATTTTCACTCCAGATTTATGACATATCCCTTTCAGACTCAAGTAAACACAAATATGTAAATTGTTAGGGAGCGTGGAATATAAAAAATGAAGAAATTTTGGTGACATGGTGTTTCAGAAGTTGGCCCTATTTCCATCTTTCAAGTGATTGTCATTATAGTGATTGTTTCATTAATGTTGGTCTGAGGCATATTTAATGTACATAATATTTTGGGAGTTGGCTATACTCCTGTCTGCAGGTGGTTGTCATTATGTTGAGAGGTTCTTTTTTTTTAAATATATGTCAGTATAATGTCAACCAGTTACATAAAGGTGGCACATGATACATTGTGTATAATAAATATACCCAAGGCAATGAAATAAAATCATGGCATAGGAGAAGTAATATCCTGTCATACACAGCTGTATTCTGTGTCTGAAAGGGATATGTATGAGAAATGTGTGAGAACTCTGCTATAACAAGGTTGCAGACATTCCATTAGTATAACTATCTAAGTAACTCTGATTTAGGACTAATTTGCATGTATCAAATATAGGTATTTCTTATTACAGTACCATCCAAACAGCAGTCTGGTCTTCCCACAGAGTAAAGTATTTCTCTTACACAATGCCAAAGCGAGCAGTATGACTTATTGTCCAATCCACTTTCCATTATATGCCACTGAAATCCTTTGGCTTGGGGACATAAACATGATGAATTAATATGCAGATCACAGACTCAGTTAATTTTCTCATGAGCAGAAGTGGAACATTCAGTTTTACTGTTGACTTTGCTATGATATGATTGTCTACTCTGGTGTGTAGACTGTACTCATGTATTTGCCTGGCTGTGTAAATTGTGAAGCTAAACACTTGCTTCTTTTAAATTTAAGTGCAACATAACAAAATCATGTAGACTTTTCTCTCATACAAATATGAGTATCCCTTGCTTTATGCCTCAAGAAAAGAGGATCAGAGATTGAAAAGCCATCAAGTAAATTTCATATTAACCACTTGGATATGAGAACTATTTGGTCTTCATTAAAAGAAATGGTATAACTTACTCTCCATTTACACATTAAAGACACCCATGCAAGGTGCATTGCCACATGATAAGAAGTTACAGGAATCTAGACTATTTCATCTTGGAGGATAACCCACCTTCCCAACCATGTTTTGTCACAGCATCCAACTACCTTCATATAATATGCTGCTTTTTGTGTCTTTTCAGCTTCTGTTACGGAAGTTTAATGAATTTTCACTCATAAATGTTGCTGTAAAATTATATTAAGAATTATAGTTTGTGTGTGTGTGTGTTATAGCTACTTCCCTTCATAAACGTTACATCATGCGTGTATAAGGGGGAGAGAGTGGTCCCAATCCTTTCACTTCAATTTTTCATTATTAACACATTCATCTGCCATTGCAGTTATTTTAAACGAAAGCAGTAGCTAATGCTTCAAGTTAGTAGTACTGTGGTCTTCTGGGATGTGAAGCTATGTAGTCTAGTAGGTAGCTACAAAAATTTTGTAGGAACTACTGCCTCCATCTTCAGAGTAAAAGACTACCCTGAAAATGAGAAATACAGATTCCTCCAAAATGTTGGTACCTTTCTATCGGACTGCATGGTGCCACATCTAGAGAGATTACAATATTGGCACTCATTGCCATGAAAACCTCATATCCTGCCTCTGGTATGCTCTTATCAACTTCCTAGCCTCTGTCTATCTTTGCAATGGTGAAGAATTCCAGTTCTGATGTGGTGTCAGCTAAGAAATGGGCTCAACTATCTCCAGAAGTTAGATGATGGTAACTGCTGACAGAGGGGGCCTATAGCCTAATATGGTCTGAACAGTGACTGAGGCCTACAGTTCCTCATATTCAGCTTCATTCAGGCAAGAATCTGTTAATAAGCAGCTGTCATCACCACACATTGCAAATGGAGGGGGGCACATCTGTGTCACATGAGCTGACTACATGCTGACACATTAATGTACTTATTCTAGCTATCTTGCATAATGTGAAACATGTCTATCACATAAAGTTTAATTTAATTTTCTTGTGCATGCAACATCGATCAAGCCATGGCTGTGTTCAAAATACCATTATCAAAATTTGACAAAATTAGAGTTTAATTTATTTCAGTTTGGGTTTGACAGTCTCAGCTGTCAGTTTAGGCTGTTTGACTAATTGAATAAGATTTAACTTACAAGTACTTTGCATATAGAGTATTTTCATGTAATTAGAGTCTTTATATATGTGTTTTTCATCCTGTTTTGTAACTCACTGCTATGTGTATCAGCCCGGCTATCACAACACAACTTATAAATAAACAACTGAAGACACTAATATTATTCATGAAATCAGTATTTATTTATTCATGAAGCATGCTCGCTACATGTGTCGACCATAAATGGTCATCATTAGGCATTAAAATATTAAAAATGTTGTCAACATACATCATTGAACTGCTTTCTCAATGGAGCCATTGTTACTAGTCCCATCTAATACAACCAATTCCTCAAGATATGATATAATACATTATATTGAATTAAATATTAATGTAGGTAAGTCTATATTTTCTATTATTATAGTATGCATTAACATTGGAAGTTAAAACTTAATATTTAGCCTACTTTGTATAGGGTTTATAGCGGATTGGGGTAGGAAGGGTTGTATGTATTGAATTAATGCTGTGCATAGGGTATGTATTTAGTGGGGTGTGAGTGTTATGTATGTGGTATATGTATATATGGTGGAGGGCGGAATACCACAAATTTCAGGTACATTCTATATTGATGTCTTTATGCTAATTTTTATATTTATCATCCATTGCCAATTTTGTTGTCCTGTGTTGAAGTGTTATTCTGTGGGTATCTAGGGTTGAAGTTGCTGTTTACGGCTATATGTTTAACATTCTTTGATTATTTTGTTTTTTCTGTGTGGGAGTGTTATACTGTAAGTTCTTTTTGAACTGATGTTGCAGTTCCTGGTATTTTGCTTGTGAGGTAGTTTCCAATGTTGCTGTAAATGTGGTATTACCATATTGTGTGTTGGGGATTGACTCCACACAGCAAGGTAACACTTCATTTACAGCAACATTGCAAACTACATCACCAGCAAAATACCAGGAACTACAACATGAGTTCAAATAGAACTCACAGTATAATACTCCCACACAGAACAAAAAATAATCGACGTGTGTTAAACACATAGCTATAAACAACAACTTCAATTGAAGATACCCAAAGAATAACACTTCAGTATAAACAAAACAAACAAACAAATTCTGAGGCCATTAGTCCGCAAGCTAACTATACTGACTGACCGAGCAACCTCTGCTTGTCAGAAATAGGACAACAAAATTGACAACAGATGATAAACGTTCAAATCAACATGAGGACATAAATACAGAACATACCTGGAATTTGCAGTACTCCAGCCTCCACCATGTACACATACATCACATACATAACACACACTCTCCACTAAGTACATACCCTATACACAGCATTAATTCAACACACGCCACCCTTCCTACCCCATTCTCCATACTCCCATTCCATTATAAACTCCATACCAAGTAGGTTAAAAGTTAAGTTTTAACTTTCAATGTTAATGAATACTATAATAATAGAAAATATAGACTTACCTACATTAACATTTAATTCAGTATAATTTACTATTTCATATCTTGAGGAATAGGTTGTATAAGATGGGACTAGTAACAATTGATCCATTGAGTAAGCAGTTCAATGATATATTTTGACATTTTTGATATCTTAACACCTGATGATGACCATATATGGTCAAAACATGTAGCGAGTATTCTTAGTGAATAGTGTCTTCAGTTGTTCATTTATAAGTTGTGTTGTGATAGATTGATATACATAGCATAATTAGATTTGTCATGTCTGGGCATAAATACATTTTACAGAATGGCATAAAGCGAGGGAAATGTTCTTAAGTGCTATTTGTGAATATGTATATGATACTCTACAGCATTATACATCAATCTTTGGTGTTCAGTTGTAACCCTGAGTACTACAAAAGCATTAAAGCCATTAAACCAATCAGCTGAGTAAAGGTATGAATTCCTCATAACAAAATCTGAAATGAAAACAAAGGAGCAGTAAAATACAGAATCTGAATAAGTGGCTTTACCTCCATTACTCCGCTTCTCATAGCCTTATGCCAGTCTTCCAATGTGTCATGGGCAACCCTTATATGTAGAGCATCATCATTTGAAGTGTGGTAAGGCATGTCTGTTATTTCATGATGCCCAGGACTATAATATGTGTATGGTTCTACAGCTAGCCATTGCTGTATCCTATATCCCTTCACATCATCTTCATTTAATATTAGTTCCCCTCCACCATCACCATCACTGTGACCTATCTCCCCTCTATCACCACCACTACCAATTAATCTTGTCCCATCCTCTGTCATATTATCACCACTACTGTTACTGCTAATACTACTAACACCATCACCACCACCACCAGGAGCAATTATGCTCTCTCTCCAAAGGGGAGCTGAGAATTGTTGTGGGGGCCTCGGGCGTCGCCGGTATGAAGTCTGATTCTTCACCCTGAAGCCTTGACCTACCTTAGCAGGATGAAGGGTCACATTGAGGAGAGTTGGGTGCTGTTCTACTACCATGAAATCCATTTCACGTGGCAGATAGCCATCAGCATAAACCTAGAAAATAAATTTACTAATTATTAATGTTCTTATAAATACTGTATGTTGCTATGATACAAAATACTATGTGATCTGTCTTGGAAGAAAGCACACAAAATAGGTCAGATTACAGTGTATACAAAAATAGATGGCTGCATGTTTTTGTTATGATCAGCACTCCATCATATTCAGGAGGTCTTGTGTTTAAATCTTGACTTAGAAACTTGAGTGAGGATTTCTGTGGTTTTCCTGAGAACCTCCAGACATATCTTGGCAGAATGCTGAAATAGGTCATCACTGCGTTCAGTGTCCTTGTTAGTTTATCATACCTAATTATCTTACCATTCCTTGCTATGTAACTTACAGTTAATAAATCATTGTTAAGAATTAAGAAAAACAAAAAAATACTGTATGAGGATAAGGTAATATAAAAACTCATGTCTGAAATATTGATGAGTTTACATTCAGTCCTGTAATGTTTATGAAATTCTTATTTTTGTGATAAAATGTTGTGAACAGAAATGTTTTTAATTGGCACTTTATATTTCAGAAAACTCCATTCAACATCACATATTTATCCAACATTTTTATGGACATTGATCAAAGTGGTACTCACCCTTTCATGGTGATGACGCAAATACCTCTGTTTCAATATGATATTCCTCACATCATGATGCAACTATTTGCAGTCTTTAGTTCAGAACTTTGCCACATTTTTCTTATGGCAAATATTGGATGCATACATACTATATCAGCAGTTTCTGAGTCAGAGTCTTATGTTATGACTGACGGTCAGTCGACTTGTGTTTCTTGGAATAAAGCACCCATCTGGGGCTTATGACCAGATTTTTATTACTGTCAGTTGCAGGTTTGTTGATGTGGGGCGCCCTCTCAAATGAGAGGACAGGTCTGTCATTTACATGCCCATGCCACTGCAGTCATTTTCAGGTCCAAGTCCCATGGGACCTTGACCATATTTTACTGTCTCAGATTTGAGACTTCCCCTTTCATCACATCCTGCTATCGCAGGGCTACAGTGGAGGCATTTGAACCAGCCTCCACATGGGGTAGCAGATTCTGAAATATTTTATGGATATATTCTGATGTAACAGTTTGAAGCTTTCATCAACAGATAGCTCTAATTTTTCTCAAGAAAACACTGCGCTGTGCAGTTAGAATTATTGTATTTACTTGTTTATTGCCTAGTGTGTAGAAGAGGAGTGGGAAGTTTTTAATTGTACAAATAATAATTTTGCCATGACTTAAGGCACGCTGAATGTTTCTTTAAGATTCTAGGGAGACATGGCATCAGAGGGTCTGGAATAAGGTTTGTTCCCTGTAGCCTCATTGCTGATGTTTGGAAAACATGAGAATAAAGCTATTTACCTCTAATTTATAGATCCCAGGCAACAAAATCCTCCAAAATTCTCCATACTTGGTTGTTTGAAACCCAACATCACGTGATTTGACTTTGAGTGATGCTTTTTCTACTGGATTGCCATTCTCATCCATTACAAATCCATGGACACCTCTGTGCGCTTCTGCCAGGAATTTAACAAGTGACTGAAATTTAAGAAAGCAGATATTGAAAACACTGCGTGATTTTTATAATTACAACAATGCCACGATTTTTGTAAGACTCATTAATTGTACACTTGACAAATGTAAGGAAGAATTACCTCTTGTTTTTTTAAGAATCTTTTTAATTTGATTATTTAACGATGCTGTCAGTATCTGGATTTCGATGATATGGTGATTAATGAATATGGAACATTTGGTGGAATAAATATTGACAGATAAAGCCAAAGTACTCACAGAAAACACAACCCAGTGCCATTTTGTACACCATAAATCCTACATGATCTGACCTTGAATTGAACTTGGGCAGCCAAAATTGGAAGCCAGAAACTAACTGTCTGAGCTACTGCATGGCCCAAATAATTACTGATAACTGACATGAGTAAGAGCGATTTAAAATGTTTGTGTGCATGCTGTTGTTTTTCAGGAGTAAAAATCTGCCTTCTTGAAGTCCGGTGTTGGGTCTTGTGTTTCTGATTATAATTTGCTGTTTCAAATCCAGTAGCACCCCAACCAACTTACTGAATAAGAAATTACGCTTTTACTAGTGATCAAACAGTGTCCTGATTACTGTTATTTGTGATGCAGTTATTAGTAAGTCTGCATAGAAAATAAAACTGTAAGAACTTACCATTCTATTTTCTTCCCAGAACTTGGGAAGCTCTGATGCAGGAGGATATTTGCAGCATGAAAGCTCAAGCGTTATTTCCATGCAGCCATACCATACATAGTTGAAGTCTTGCATTCCACCTAATTGGGTTAATAGTAGTCATGGTTAAGAACAAGAATATAAAGTTATGCTTCAGTTTGGAATATTAATATTTTTCAGATGGATTCTCTGCACTATAATGATACTTAATTACACATAATATTTATTTATTTCAGACACAGTTATAGAGTCTCAGATTAATTTTCTTTCTTTATTTTTTGTTAAGTATACAATCTGTTCAGTAATCTTGGTGATAAAACTTGGCGCCTCTGTTTCTGGAGATAGAAACCATCTCTACAAGGACCGCGCCATAGCTCAAGCGGTTAGTTGCTGGCTTCCCACCGCGGCAGCCTGGGTTCGATCCCGGATCTGGTCAAGTGGGATTTGTGGTGGACAAAGTGGCGCTGGGGCAGGTTATCTCCAAGTACTACGGTTTCCCCTGCCAATCTTCATTCCATCAATTGCTCCACAATCACACTCACCTATCATCTGGGGCTGGTACAATAGGGCAGAAATGGCCGCAGTACAAGGGACTTAGTTCCACACCACTAACATTAAAAAAAAAGTGTACAGGTTCAGCCCAAGTGAGTAGGCCTTTTACCTGAGGATGGAAGCAGAATCCTGTCTCTAAAATGTTTTAAATAAAACAGCAGGATGATGGATAATGTCCAAAAAGTCAGTAATTTTAATGATTTGATTGTTTTTAAGCAGAACAATGCAGAAAATTGTAGAATATAATATGTGCTATGATTACAGAGTCACAAAAGTTCTTGTTAACTTAAGAATTTTATGTCATTTTTGGATTTTAGTATTTTTAGACTCTTAAATTTGATTGTGGGGAATGGAAATTAACTATAACAGAGAGTCATTGATTTATGACATTATTCATTAATGAGTATTCAAAAGATCTAGATGAAACAAAACATTTTTCTTTAAGTCATATCATGCAGTTTGTGTCACAGATACAGTTGTGATTTAATTTATATGTCAGAAAAGGTATTATTAGGTAGGTTAGATCAGTCAGTATAGTGACTAGGTTACAGACTGGACGATTTAGAAATTGGGGTTCATTATGCCAGAATGACCAAGAGATCTTTCTTCTGCTCACATTGTCCAGACCAGCTCTGGGTTCAAAACAAACTTCCTATGTGATGGGTACTGGGAACGCTTTTTCTAAGGCTAAAGTACCTGATTCATGAAAATGACCACTCACCTCCATCATGGGCCGAGGTTGAGAATGCATGGAACTATACTTCCACTCACTCATATCTCCATGGCATGGTGATTAATTAAGGATAGGGACAATTCTACCTTCCTTTTTTATAGGATTGCATATCATGGAGCTAGCTGGTTAGGTGTCAAGTAAAGGTTAATTCTCTGCAATTTACATCTTTTCATTTTTCTGTGGATTAATCTTAATATTGTAAGTTGGAAATATTCTCCTAGGATTGACAGAAAGGAATACACAATTCAGCTGTGACCATCTACATATATTTCTCTCTGAAATAAGGGACACAAGCTAAAACTTAGACCAAACATCTCAGTTAAGTGCTTAATGTTTCTGTTTAATATGTAGAAGAAAAAAGTTCAATTTTTGACCTGGAAACATGCTAGCTTATTGAGATGTTCTTGCCTCCTACAAAGTCAGATTTTGAGTAGTATCTCAAAATTGGCTGTGATCACTCCAATGTCCTTCCCAGTTCATCATTTATAGTTATCTTATCATTCAATGCTGTATAATTTATGCAGATGAAGCAGCTTCATTATATAAACTAACACATACACAGGCCCTAAAGCAAAGGCTTCAGTGAGCATATGCAGTATGTAACATGCCCCTCTCTTGGGACCACAGTGGATGCCATTTCACACTGAAACGTTAAATTCTTCACTTGCTGGGTGCATACAGATCTTACCTGTGAGGGGGTACCATGCTGCTCCATTTGTAATGCCCTGATTGAAGGAAGGTGTGCCAGCTTTGCACGCTTTTCCATGACTCATAACAGGATGATTATTGGAGTAAGTGAGTGCCAGGTGTTTAAACACATCATCATCTGGAGTCAGCGAAGGTGTTGATGCATAACTGTGGAATACTGGGCCCATAGACACAAAGAAAAACAAATTGTCATTTACTGTTCACACTTACCTTTGAAGATAATGCCCTGCAATTCTATATTTGAAATATTTTTGTGTGATGACCGTTTATAGGTGTATATACTTATATATTTTCTGGAATAGCTAAAATTGTTGTTGTTTATATTTGTATTAATATCGGCAACTCAAAAATCTGCACAAACGTGTCTCACAAAATTCCCTTTAGTTACATGAAATGTTTTAGTAGAATGACTTATGCCAGCATTTAGCTACAGGCCTAATTTTTCATACTAAACATTTGACTAGCATGATGTGGTTCACTCTCTGCCTCATTACAGACATTGCCCTGACTGTAGGGAACTCACTTTTAGACCAAAACAATATCAAGTTAGATATAGCATTTTACAGTCCAGATTAATGAAATTTGAGACCAGTTTTCCCAGTTGGCTTACTTTAAGGGTGCTATACATTTTCAAAATTAAAATAATTGTAGAAGCAGTATCAAGGTAAGGTAAGGTAAAGCTATCCCTGTTAACAGGCCGTGAAGGCCCATAGGGTTGTCAGACGTTGATGGTCCCACATTATCTAGAAAATCGGCTTGAAGATGGCAGTGAGGCTGTCAGCCTTACACATCTGCTGCCCTTTACCCCCTAGGAAAATTCCTGGTACTCATTCCTGTTATAGGCTGAGTCAACCCTAGGGCCATAGTACAGCTGGAAGGATTAGGTAAATTGAAAAAATCCAGTGACATCATTGGGACTTGAACCCTCGACCTTCCGGCTTTTAGCATAGTACCTGAATCAACTATGGTATAATATGCCCCAGCAGTATTAATGAAAGCAACAATTATTAAACAATGTTTAATATTTTTACCTTACCTGCGCAAAGTGGAGATGATTTGCACATTCCTATTTAGCAGCAAGAATAAAAGTCACAAATTTCTTATAAGACTTTTATCTGATACGGAATTCCTTAAATTTTGAAACAATTATTTGAATATTTTTGAAAGAAAATTGGATTTTCTGTAGAGAAGAGTGTTTAAGTTTCCATATTTTTACAGTTCCTATGTAACAAACATCAATTCTAGGATTTAATTTCATAGGTGTTTATAAATAATAAATTAGTAAAAACTATGTTTAATTACATAGAGAACCTATGGTGCTGAAATAAATATTAGTCCCTTCATTATCACATTCTCCTTTTCAAACAAAATTTTTTTAAAGAAAAAAATCTTCCTCTCATGTTGACTGTAACATTTTAGCGGAAGTGGTATTCTTTAAACCCTCCTCTAAGTATAACTCTGTTTGAAATCTGTAATTAAAACTTAATTCTGAATACATACATACATACATATATTTCACATTTCACTAGTCTAAAATACAATGGACATAAAACTGGTCACAAGCATAACACAAACAAACAAAGCAGAGAGACAATACAAAGCTAAACAAACACTGTAACTAAGTATTTACTGTACACATATGCTCAAAAAATTCATCAACTGTGTAAAATTAGTTATTCATCAGATATGAAAGTAAATTATTTTTAAAACTGATTCTATACTTTCTCGGACCTTGAATGGTCTTTGGCAGTCTATTAAATAATCAGATGAATGAGGATGTGGCAGTGGAATGTGACAGCCTCCAAAGCTCTGCTGTAGCTGATTGTATGAAGTGGGGGAGGGGGTCATTACAAAATATTACTAAATATTTGTTCCATAATTCAAACTTTTCATGAATTTGAATTGCACCTTCATCTGTTAGTTCGAGTTAGTGAGATTTTACTCTAAATAATTTCCCCCTTGTTCCCCTCTTGTAAGTCTGAATATGGTAGTACTGGAAGAGAATTCCAAACTTCTGAGAATAAACCACTCCCCCTTCCCATAATTGTTAAATTTTTAGCTATCTATGTTTTCTTTTTATAGGTAAACTGTATATTATACTTGGCAAATGGCTGTAAAGCCCCAGAACAAATATTCAGTTTGAATGGAATTCTGGTTCCAGATTTTTGGAAGTTCTGTCCATCACTTTGTAATTACACTGCTGCTGAACTGACTGTACAAAATGATATTGTTCAGTAAAAGTGGCTTACAGTAATGTTATGCAGTAGTTTTGCATTATAATGCTGCAATACATTAGAGATCAAAATGATATCATGTATAAGGTGCAAAGTAAAAATATAAGTTCAGTGTTTTATTTTAACATGACATCACCTCAATAACCTTCAGTTCAACACACTGACACTACACATATCCAACAGGACAACCAGACATTTAATGAGCAACAACAGGAAAAACTTATCCATCAGAGGATACAACATACAATAATGAACATTTTTAATAATAACATTTACACATTAAGAAGTTTAGCCCATTTCATTATTTATGACTGTACAACTTATGATTATTAAGATCTACAGCAATTGTAAAGCAAGTTCTTTTTATTGTTGAGCCTCTAAAAGTGGCCCCAAAGACCCCAGATACATAAGATTATACAAACGTTGAATTGTTTATATAAAGCTTGTTTACATTGGACTGTTAGTCATTCCAAAGCTTATTCCCCTCCCCTGCCCCACCAAAAAATGTAAGTTCAGTCTCACAACTGTGCTTGAAATTTGTGACTGCTCTTTTTCTTGTTGTTATACTGATCCAAGCAGTCAAACACAGAGTTTTGCCTTCTCATGACAGTTTTACTCTGTCATACAGTAATTGTTTTGTATACTAAAATATCTACAACTTATACTATGATACTTACTGGAGTTAGGTGTGTTATCAAAAGGATAACTGGCAACCAGTGCACCACCATGTAGTCCTCCAGATAGGACAAACTGGATCTTAGAAATCCATTCTTTGACTGCATCTGTCTCTGGCTGACCACGTTTATTATTTTGTTTGAAGTAATCTGGAAAGTTCCGGTTCAAGTCAAACCCCCGTGCATTGTATCTGTAATTAAAATACAAACTTAAGAATATGCTTGTGAAGCAGACATTATTGTCAGTGGCAACATTTCTATGTACTACATTATTTGAATTGGAAATATTTTGTTTTGACTTAGAATGTTCTTAAAATATCATAGTTACCACTAATTAAGTTTGTTTCATAACACAGACCTAATAGAGAATACTCAAAGATGTTATGAAATTTATTCCCTGCTCTTACCATCATGTATGACAACCACAACTATTAAAACAATGTGCAAGTTTTGAGTTAGAGTTTTTGGGTGTGGTTTCAGTCCTTATTCTCATTCTTTTTTTAATTACATAAGTATGCATTAAATTATTCTGGTCTTTGTCCTTATATATTGTGACAAAAATACATTTTAATGAATTACATGAGTATAACTTAATTTATATTGATCTCTGTGCTTAAGTAATTTGATGAGAAACATTTCCCTTTTATGTGATTTGTCCACTGTCCTCTCCATTAGTACACTTCATAATATGAACATTTTCTTCTGGATAAATTTAAATTGTATTTTGAGATCAATAGTGTGATGTTTATTTCTTGAAAAGCCTTTTTTTGTCCATTTGCTTGTGTACATATCAGCAACCCTATCCCTGCTGTAGAACAAGTTCTTCTGCCAGTACACAAGAAAGTAACTGAAATATGTGAGAAATTTCAGCTTGAGAACATATTTGAATAAATTCATGGGTTCAGAAATGATAGGAAGGTGATGCAAATGGAATGGGATAAGACAGTTGGCTGAAAATAGCATGTTGTTGTAAACACATGCATGATGAATAGAAATACTAAGGATGTAGATTAAAGAGAATTTTTGAAGTTGATAAGCACTAAGTTTTCTGATCTATTATGATAAAAGAAAAAGGAGGAGAATTTCTTTTATAGTTGCTAATCACAATGATAACTGTGGAATCATTCTGTAGGAATTCTCATAGAATTCTGGGGTTCCTTTGAACATAGTCTGAGTATTTCTGGTCTGAATGTGTTGGCAAGCTCAAAAGCTTACAATTTCTACTGTTGTTATTGATGGTGATAAAAATGTAAGGAACGAAATTCTACAGCATTTTACCTCCACCCATAAAAACAGATGTAGCTAAGCATATGCATTCTCATCATAAATCCAAAACATGTGATGCATAGGTTAAAACTATTTCAGTATGGGGATTCAGTTCTAATAAGAGTAAAATTCTTGCCTTCTGTACCAGAGACCTCAGTTTAAAACCCAGATGGGTCCAGTATGGATTTTTTTGTTTGATAATCTCAATTCTCACCTATGACAAAGTCAAAACTTGTTGAATGTGACTTTCATTGTTTTAGTTAATGACATTTTCAACTTTATTATGTTATAGAGCAAAATTACTATGAGTAATAAATTAACAAGGATTTTGAAATAAATGGAAATGACAGGCTTAAATTTTTATTTGTCATTATCTTCATATGACTAGAAAACCAGAAAATATCTGTCTGGGTATCCATTGTCTTAGTGGAAATTTGAAATTTGGCCTTCCCAAGTATGAAGAAGTGCTGACCATTACACTGAGATATTTGGTTGTTGAATATGGGGGGGGGGAAATAGTACAAATACGATATATTGTACATTAAACTGTATATCCAGCATGGCAGTCATCATATGAGCATCAAAAGGCTGTCAGACATAACGTGATATAGATTTAAGCAGTACTAATTGCAAATATAGTTAGGCAGATGTTGTTGCTGGTTTGTGCCAAAGCTTTACTGATAAAACAAGTGCATTAGATAGGCAGCAGTCATTAGCATAGCATAGCCTAAGTGCAACATAGAGATCTGTCCCCTACTTCATCACACCTTAACTATCATCCCACAAAATTCAAACCCTAAAAAGATGCCAGAGGTGATCATGTGTCCATTATGAACTTGAAAAACCATTTTGGATTTCTTTTTCAGTCAATTCCTTACAATAGTTTCTCTCTCTCTCTCTCTCAACTTCATCTTTAAGACTGTGATTATTGACGATATATTGACAAAGACAATAACATCTCCAATTAAAAATGTGGGATGCCAGAAGGCAGAAGAATGCACTCTGAGGCTTGGAACTGAAGTGTAGTTGAGCCCCCTTGCACCACAATACCTACACCCAGGGATGTAGTCCTGAACTAAAAGCCCCAGGGTAATGTGGCACACAGTTCTAGGTAAAAGAAAATGGGCATGAATTATGACATAAGGCCCATCTTTCTGTTGAATAATGGCAGCTTTGTGCTCTTAAACAGAGAATTTATTGAAACACACATACTTAAAGAGGCATCAAATAGACAGGCTGGAAAGCAAATAAGCCATTATGTATTTCTATTTGTCATCATTTTCTAAAATAAGTGCAAGAGAGATACCCTGGCACTTAAAAAACCACCAGGGGACTGTCCAAAACTGCCCTGGCTCAACTACAGTACTGCCTAGCCCCTAGTAGGGATAAATTACGTGGACTGATTGGCTAACATAATTGTTTCAACTGTAGAAGTTAGGTAGCATAAAATGAGATGGAGAAATGGTCATGAATGTTTCATAAGTAAGGATCTGGAAGAAGAAGCTGGGACCTATTTCAGGGTACATTGTACTTTTCATAGATTTTGTGAAAAGAAATACAATTAAGATAATGAAGTAAAATAGTCAGTAACATCTCTGAATACAACTTCTGATTGTCAGATTTATATTAATCTGCTTAGTAGATTACACAGATAATCCAAATGCTGACAGTCAGCATTTTTTCTAGAAATGGCTAATGGACAATACAATGATAATATGTAGTAATAAACACCTTTGCTTCTGGTGCAAGTTTAAAGATGAGTGCCTCTATTGTCCAGTATGTAGATTGAAGAACAAAAAGATTGGTATTAACAAATTTCCATCACAGATACTTGTATACAAAATTAACTATCTTGTTTTATTTGCAATTCTAGTAGTTTTATACTTACAACAGCCAGTGGCGATCTTTATTTAAATTTGCTGACAATTCCTGACATGCACTCCCTTTTCATATGTGCATCCTGCTCCATTTGTCCCACCCTAGTTCTCCATTTGGGCTAACATGAAGCACACATGGCTGCTATTCTCTTCATATTTGCCAATTTCATTACAAATTGAACTGAGTTTGCATACCTGCCCTGACCACCATCACACTGTCCTTCTCTGGCCACTTCAAAGCCATCTGGATTCATTGAAGGAAGAATGTGGATTCTAGTGTTGTCCAGTAGCCATTTGATATAGCTGTCACTGTTATAGCTTGTCACTAAGTACTGAAATTAATTACAATGTAATTATGGTATTGTTTATTATATACATTTAGGTAAGATTGTAAAACTTATCCTGCCTTCCCACTAAGCTACTCATATGGTCTGAAAGGGAGAATCCTGCGGTATCCATTATGAGATGCATTCTGCTGATTTCAGTCCTCCCCCATTAGCTCTTCTTATTGAACATGATTCATTACTATAAGATAATTTTAGCCTTGTGACTATCTTACCGATTTGTATTCTTGTATACCTCGGAAGAAGTAATCATCTGAGATTGTTATTTACAATTCCTAGTTCTTTGACAAAGTGTACAGTTTTTGTGTCCAAATCTGTTCTCTCTTTCGTATGTTATATTATGCCTCAAATAATTAGAAGTATTAATTTGTTCCATTATGCTATCCATAATCTCATTTCTAATTAGTTATATTCCTCTAGAGGTCAAAATTTTAACTTTTGTCCAGGTATTTTTTTTTTCCATGGAAAATTCAATAGCTGTTTTATTAAAAATATTTTACTGAGACTTATAGGTCATTTTCACATTTTGCTAACTGAGATGTTTACATGTTGATTATCTCCATTTCTGCATTCTTTATTTTATATATGTGATGAGTAATAATAATCACAAACTGCAACATTGTCTCACACATTTATTAATTTACATTTGTTAAGAGAGTTTATACTATATTCTTACTGCTATTAAGTTAAGTTTGTAAGTCCTAATCTGCATGATGAATATTTCAACAGATATGAAGTTGGTCCATCAAGTGAGAACATGTTGCACAAGCTGAATATAATGATGTTGAACCTATTCACATTCCCACCCTAGGCTCATATGCCCTACACTTTATTAATAAAAGTTAAAAAATGTAAAGCTATCCCTGCAACAGGCCTTGAAGGCCTGTAGGGTTGTGAGATGTCGAGGCTCCCAGATTTTCTCTAGACAATCATCTCACAGATGGCAGTAGGGTTCTCAGCCTTACAAGCCAGCTGTCCTTCATCCCTCTGGAAGATTCTTGGTACTCATTTCTGTTAGAGGCTGAGTCGCCCCCAGGGCCACAGTGAGGCTGGAAGAATGAAGTAAATTGAAAAAAAAAATACACTTCATCAGGACTCGAACCCGCGACCTTCCAGCTTGTAGCATAGGGCTCAACCAACTACGCTACCGTGTGCCTCCACACTTTATTAATTACTATGATAATTCAAGCTGCCATTCTCACATGTTCACAACTAGTAGAAACTTACGTGAATGAGATGGAGCATCAACTCCCTGCCGACAGCTTCATTTCCATGCATGTTGGCAACATATTTCACATCTGGCTTTCCAATCATGTGTTCATATGGAGATGCTGATACTACCATAACCCAGAGGTCTCGACCTAAAATGAAAATTTAAGAAATTAAATTTAAAATAAAGCTTTTATTATTTTACTAGCTGTTTTGTGTAGTTATTCCTTGAAGAAAAGATATAAACCTCAGTTCTGAGACTAATATGTATCTGAACTCAAGACAGGAACTCCATGTTTGTAGGATTAAACTGGGTAGTCAAATTATGGAGGTCATGATGACTAGACATGAAGCTTGGATGGTGGAAACAAACTTATACTAGTAAAGGCTTCTGTTGGGAACCAATTTGACGACAGAGGAGGAGATGGAAGAATTCTATCAAAACACATACCAACAGATATCGCACAGGTCATGATAGAAGGGCCCAGTAACCATATTGAATTAGACAGCTATGTTCACTGACTAACAAGAACTGGATAGTGAAGCTAAGAATAAACTGCCGGTTACAGAGGGTTCAGTGGCTGCGATGAAAACATCTTCTCCATGGGACAAACACCTCTATTTCAAAAGCTCTGGTCCTCCAAAATGATGATTTCTCAGTCCGATGGGTAGCCCGCCAAAATAGAAAATATTGTGACAGAATATGATCCGTTGCTAGGTGACGGGTCGCTAAGCACATTCTCGCTGCAACGAATACACAGACCATGATTTATTTAAAACGTCTTGCAGTGCATACACTCATTTATCTCCTTCTCTCCCTCGCACTACATGTTTCGGCATAATAATAATAATCAGTGCAACAGGACGCTAAAATATAACATTAGGAATACACAGACAACAATAAAATTGCCCTTTCTATGCAACAGCTGATAAACACCTTTCCCCAAGCGCGTAACAACAATAGGGAGTCCATTGCTATAAGTTTATGCGTTGAGACTGGTTGCTAGGCAATTTCGTGGTAACACAACAATAATAGAAGAGGTTTTCTATGTGTTCCATTCCTCGGCTATATAACAAAAGCTATGAGCTGTAAGATTAGAGTGACAAACCCGTTTGGAGGCGGGGTCGAATACCTCCACCGTGACCCTGCGAGTCGTAGGAGGCGACGAAAAGGGAAGTCTCAAATCTGCGACAGTAAAATATGGTCGCGAGTACCAAGGGACAGCGACCCGAAAAAGACTGCGCTGCCAAGGGCCAGTAACATATACAAAAGAGAGACCCGTTCTCCCATCGGAGAGGGCGCCCTTAAAAAAACAAAGACCGTAACTGTTAAATAGTAATAAATATCTGGTCATGAGCCTCAGATGATGCTCGACACCAAGACTTACTGACTGACTGACCGTCAGTCGCAGTGTGGCTGTGAATTTGACTTAGGATTAGAGTATCCCGTGTGGAGACAGGGTCTAATACCTCCACCGTGACCTGCGAGTCGTAGGAGGCGACGAAAAGGGAAGTCTCGAATCAAACACAGTAAAATATGTTGCGAGTCCCACGGGATTCAGACCCGAGAATGACTGCGCTGGCGAGGACCGGCAGCAATTGTAAAGGACAGACCCGTCCTCTCGTCAGAGAGAGTGCCCCATATCAACAAATCGGAACCTGTCTGACAGTAATAAAAATCTTATCATAAGTCCCAGATTGGTGCTTTATTCCAAGACAGACTGGCCGACTGACCGTCGGCCGTGACATAAGACTCAGACTCAGTAACTTTAGAGCGAATGGGAACTTTGAGCTGCCAGCGTCAGGAGAACTGGAGAAGTTTTAAGAGAACTGTTGAAGAAGAATTAGAAATCATCCCGCGAATGCTTAACGTTTGATTTGAAGACTTTATTTTATGTGTTATAGTTACAATAACCTCTAGAGTGTTTTAATTACTTGTACTTACGGCTTGTAAGTATCCAATAAATCCAATCACCAAATTTCTAACCCACAATTGTTCGTCATGCTAACCCCTTATGCGTGATAATATGTTACTCATCTGATTATGATCACCTGCTTTCTGAGTGGCGGCTTTTTTGGTTTTCCTCAACCTCTCCAGGCAAATATCGGGATAATATACCTTGACTGGGCTATGACTGCTTCCTTCAACATCCCCTTCCAACAGATCATTTCAACCATCCAACTCTGTACGGCCTCCAGACTGAAAAAAGTGTCTTTATGTAACTTGCGAAAGATGAAACAATAATTCCGGCGAAGTTACGTACTGTATAGTAGCCCAGTCCGGTTTCATTTCCCGGACACGCCACTCTGAGGTGATGCATTAAATCAACGCGGTATTTTTACGTGTTATATTCAGCATCTGTTTAAATGGGAGGTGGAGCGAAGGCAGATGTCGTTGGACAGGCGCCTCTGGCGTCCTCACTTCCGCTACCGGTCACTCAGGAAGTTGTGGTAGATCATGTAGATTTCAGGTGGAACCCTTTCCGGATGCCGAGTAGCACGGTGTTGCCATATCCTGGTTTTCTTCGGGTTATCAAAAGGGATTAGGATATTCCATTCTTCACGGACGGTTAATCGTCCAAGGCAGAATGATATGGGGACGATTAGCTAACCAGGAGTTCCGAATTCGATCCAAACTCTGGCCAATACCCCACGCCAATATTACTTAATGTTTTGTAGTTAGATGACGCGAATCATTCCAACACGTGAAATCAGTCATTCGCCAGTAACAGACGAGAAGTCACTTCCGGAAGAGTCATTCGGGGAACGGCATTCACAGACGTAAGATACAATAGCCGGATAAATCCAATTCAGATATATAATTAGAATTTAACGTCCGAATTCTATTTAAAATTACGACCATCTCGTGTTATTGTTATTACCAAGATGCTAGACCCGTGATCCCAACATATAAAACCACCCGTTGATGTGAATTATGTAAGAGTGAACTGTACTGATTTTGAACTCCTCAATTCTAACTGAAGTTGTAAAAAATAAAAAAGGTAAAGTTGACCCTGTGATTAACAAATTAAGCACTACGCCATGAAGACGTATTGGGAGTGGTTGTATAAATCCACATTTTCTTGACCTCTGCACTAGTTGGAGGTGAGTGGTCAGCTTCATACCCCGGCCGCTTTACCCCCGAGGGAAGACCACCCGGTATCCATTGTATAGGAGGTTGGGCGAACCCCAGAGCCGGTCTTTACGCCGTGGAGAAATGGAAATTCTTTCCCCACTGGGACTCGAACTCCGACTCCTCTTCCTCCAGCCCGGAGCCAGCTGCTATACAGACGTTACCGTAATACAATTAATAACTGTGTGGTGTAAATGACATATGCCTAGAGAAATTATGTAGGAATGAAAATGCACACGCCTATTTGGTTGGAAAGCCTGAAGGAAAGACACGGCACGAAAACATAAGAACTGATGAATGGTAACATTAAATTAATTACGGAGAAAGAAGTGTGAATGTACTGGATTCACTGACTCAGGATAGTTTCCAGTGGCGTCTTTTGTGAACACAGCTATGAACTTCGGCTTCCATAAAAAGGGGCAGTATTTGAGTAGGTGAGCGCTCATGGGCGGTTCGTCTGTAGCAGTTGGTTGGGCCGGGACACCCCCCCCCCCAAACATTTAACACTTCAATGTATAACAAGTAGTTTGATGAATTTACAATTTGTTGCATTTAGTGTGGCATGAAAAGTAGTTTGATTGAATTCTACTTTGTTTACATTTTTATGGCATAAAAATGACGTTCCAAAATCTTCTCAGAAGTTGCTTAGTTTGCAGAAATCTCACGGAAGGCTTTACTTCACGGACCCTATCATTAGCCCACTTTTCCACGGAAGTTTCTTCCATTTCTTTATGGCGCTCAATAGATCGCACGCCTTCTTCTTGCAAACCTGTTGAGTTGTCTTTTTGGCTGAGAGTGTCTGGCCCTTCGTGTCTTCATGCAATTCAGTGCGTATTCATGTCTCCCCTACTTGTCGAAATATCCACCATTTCCCTTCCAGAACGAGTACTTGGTTACACCGAGAGGCAAGTGCATGGTAACATTTCAGATTTCTTGCATCGTTTTATTTGTGTGAGACTGAACAAGATCATGTGACCCCTCTGCTTGTAACTGCTTCAGAGTCTGGAAGACGAAGGAAACATGAACCTCCGAATCGTCAGCTACACTATTCAAATCTACACGGTGCAAAGATTCAACAGCAGAATCAACCTCAACAGTAACCCATTGTGAACTACTGAAGTTAGTAACATGGTTTGTCCTCCATTGCGCAACATGTCACACTGCTCCCTCCTTAAGGCTGTTCGTCCCGAATAGCCTAACGTTGCACCCCCGTTCCTTTGTCTTTGGAGGCTGTTCTTGCAGCATCTTCTTTGTGTCCTGTTGAATTAGCGTTAGTGTAACCCTTTAAAAACCAATGGTAAATACATGTACCACCTGTTTAACGTACTGAAACTACCCACAGAGTATATTTGTGTGTTTCATATAGTTCTAACAATAAACAGCTATTATTTCCCTGAACAGCAGCAACAGGCTGAATTTTGTAGCGGAGTCGTAATATGTTTCCTGTGAGGTATGAACTGAATTTTTTATATTATTTAGAGCGTTTAAGAGCCACCATTTAACTAACCCTCCATGTGGCAATGATCAGATCAATTCCCCGCCTGAGAATTAGAAGATGACACCTACCTCTTAAAATTTCAGCGCCTACAAAACAGGGCTCTCCGCACTATTGAAAATTTTCCAAGGTGCACAGCGGATCGCGATTTGCAAACGGCTTTCGACCTTCCATATATATACGTTTATGATTATATAACAAAATTGTGCAGGCAACAAAAAGGGGTCATAAAAAACATGAGAATGAACAGGCTCGCGGTATGGGAAAAGGCGAAGCCAGTCATGGAAAATATAACAGACTTAAACTTGGCGGTGGTCAAGCTTACGACCGTTCAAATGATTAAGCTGACGTTGTAGCATAAGGTACGTAAGATAAGCATGATCTGTTTTGCAAAGCCTGTACTAACGGAGGACTGGTATATTGTGCAAAAGGAAGAATTTCCAATACCGTGCTGCATGTGCGATACGTTCACTTGACAAAGACGAAGCCTATTTAAAAGAGACAAACCCATTCTCTGGTCAGAGATGATGTTATATTAGGGCTATGGCTACAAGGGTTCAGTTGAAAATCAAGTCTCTGGTCTTGATTCTCAAAAGCCTTGACGTCAAGATGAACTGATTGGAGGTAAACCGCCTTTGTAAAGGACTTGATGCCAAGACGAAATTATTGGCGTTAAACCGCCAGTAGTAAAATAACTTTGAATTTGATTTTGACTAGACCTTAAAGATTTAAAGGCTGACAGAGCAGCAGAAAGTAATGTCATTTTAGTGCTGGCGCTAAGGAGGTGCCATACTTGAAAAGAAACCGATGAAGGAGTCCCGATCTGAATTTAAAGATAATTTTAAAGTGATTCAATGTCACATAAATCTTTGCCGACATGATCATTAGTGCAACTTAAAAAAAAAGATGTGAGGAACGTAAACTACCAGATCCAGAAAGTGAAACAGGCATTTTTAGGCTCGTATACATCCCCATTGAAGCCCCTATAAAAGGGTCTGTTCTGTGGATCTGTGAGCGTCAGGTGGTACAGATGAGCCTAGGATTGTCCGAACTCTCACCCAACAAAAGGGGGGACTATATTTGTAAGGTGTTCATCTGATGGCACAGAGAGAGGCAGCCTCTTTGTTTAGAAAGTCTATGTCAACACAAAACGGAACTGAAGTTGCTAAAAGGAAGGTTGCTATGTAACACGAAAAGTAAACTCTTAAAATGCGAACATCTCAATGAGAACACAACACCCCCCCCCCCCGTTTCCTTCAAATAAAGGCATTGGGTGGGGGGAGGGGGGCATAACATTTGTTCCAGGCTCGGCCCGTTCAGTGTGGGTACCTGAATTTTGAAGGCTGCTGCTGCCTCATGGCCTCAGGAATCGCCTGGCGGGTACCTACTTGAACTTCCGGACGTACCATTAACTGTAACAGCTACAGAAGGTAACGGCATGGCAGTTAGCACTTCCGCATCGTATTTTGGAGGTTCCGCGTTCATCAACCGCAGTATAAAAGTAACTATTTTGAAATTCGCCTTGAAGAGTGAGTGTCTTATAGCGACTGCCTACGGGCTGGACGACCGAGGGGTCAGAGTTTGAGTCGCGGTAGGGTCAAGAGTTTTCTGTTCTTCACCTCGTGCAGACTGGCTCTGAGGTCCACCCAAAATCCTATCCAATGGGTATTAGGCCTCTTTCCCCGGGGGGTAAAAGTGGCCGACGTGTGAAACTGACCACTCATCTCTAGCTAGTGCCGATGTCAAGAAAACGTGGATCTATACATCCACTCCCACGTACCCTTTCATGACTTAGTGCTTTCAGTATTCAGTATTGAGGGGGTGGGTTTCCCCATGCACTTAGACCAGTTATTGGTTCATTGTGCGTCCCCCTTTTAATTTCTACTGTCTCCATACCCTACCGGTACTGGTGCTCGCTATTAGCCCCTTTCTGCCAGCGAGGTTCGAACCTTCTACTGGCAGTGGTATCTAATAGTTAGCCCCTTTCTGTCAGAGAGGTCCCCCTTCCTCTGGCAGTGGTACCTAATACTTCCCCATCTACCGGAGGCATTGGAAACTACTTTGGGCTGGAAACTTTTTGCCTAATTTAGCTCAGAGGTCTCCTAGAGACATGAGGTTCTTTTACGTGCCGTAAATCTACGACAAGGGACCCACGGCTTAAAGTCCCTCCCGGAGGACTTGTTCCCTGAATTTTTCCGGCCTTAAAAATTCCACGACCTCCGCCGGGTTTGAACCCGCGTACCTTGAGTCATGAGGTGGGAACGTTACCCCTAGACTACGGAGACCGCTTGACTTAGTGCTTAATTAGTTAACCACAGGGACGAGAGTGTATCATGGAACTGCCTATGTGTCCGGGTTACCACATTAACATTCAAGAAGGTGACGTACGAATATTCGCGTCTTGTATATCAATAAGGTAAAATAAAATGCACAGATGTGTTTATATCTGTTTTCTATTTCCTCCTATACAAGGACTGGGCACCTTGAAGCTCGTCCAGAAATTAGGTTAAAACAGTCTTTCCGCTTATTCCAAGGGTTTCGCGTAATCTTCGGAAGAAAATATGACAGCTATGCAGGATTCTGACTTCCTAAGAGCTTAATTATCTTCAACGTAACTAACACACAACAACATACAAACTAGCGCCCCCGTAAGGATAGTAAAGACAGCCACACCCAACAAATTAACAAAACCAGTTTTTATTGCTAGTGGGGTGGGGCTAAGTCCCTTGTACTGCGGCCACTTCTGGCCTATTGTACCAGCCCCAGATGACAGGTGAGGGTGATTGTGGAGCAATTGGTGGAATGAAGATTGGTAGGGGAAGCCGAAGTATTCGGAGAAAAACTGCCCCAGCGCCACTTTGTCCACCTCAAATCCCACACGACCAGACCCGGGATCGAACCCGAGCAGCCGCGGTGGGAAGCCAGCGACTAACCGCTTGAGGCGTGGCGCGGCCCTCAAACAAAATCATAATGCAAACACGTGCAGCCCAAGGACACCTAAATATAACAGATGGTTAGTAAAAGTAAAGTAAAGGTATTCCTGTAACAGGCCATGGAGGCCCATAGGGTTGTGAGATGTTGAGGTTCCCACATTTTCTAGAGAGTCGGCTCATAGATGGCGGCAAGGTTGTCAGCCTTAGGCGTCGGCCACCCTTTACCTCCAGGAAGATTCCTGGTACTCGTTTCTGTTAGAGGCTGAATCGACCCCAGGGCCATAGTGAGCCCTCAGTATTAGGTAAGGTAAAATGGTAAAGTACCGAAGTGAACGGAGATGTTCATGGAGGTAGGCCTAGGTCCACTGGGGCTGTAGTGCCAAGGAAAAAAAGTGGTAAAGTTGTCGCTGTGCCTAACTAATTAAGCACTACGCCATGAAGGCGCATGGGGGAGTGGATGTATAGATCCACGTTTTCTTGACCTCGGCACTAGTCGGAGGTGAGTAGTCAATTTCACGCCCCGGCCACTTTACCCCCAAGGACGGAGCCCTCGGTACTCATTGATAGGAGACTGGATGGACCCCAGAGCCAGTCTAGAGAACGTTGAGGAGAGAAAAATTCTTGACCCTACCGGGACACGAACTCCGACCCCTCGGTCGTCCATCCCATAGCTAGTCGCTATACCGACTGAGCTGGAAGTATTAGGTAAATTGAAAAAAATCCAATGACCTCATCGTGAATCGAACACTCAGCCTTCTGTCTTGTACCTCGTGCCCTAGCCCCTACTAATTAGGGCGTGTTAAAATTGGTTACTGATGTTATTTTTATGTTAATACTGAGGCGGGCCTCTCTAAAGTAAGAAAGGAGAAGTGAGACCTATTTCTGCACAGATCGTGACGAAGATAATGATAATGGTGAGTGCCTTCAGTGACTGCAAAAGACTGATAATTATTTAAGAAATTCTGAACTGCAGAATTAGCCGGACACGGTAGCCGAGCGGTCTAAGGCATGGACTGTCTTCGCTCGCTCGGAAGCCGAGATCGTGGATTCGAACCCCACTCAGGGCATGGATGTTTGTGTGCGTTTTTCTGTGTTTGTGTACAGGTAGAGACCTTGCGATGAGCTGATCACCCGCCCAAGGAGTCCTACCGTATGTGTAAGATCTAGAAAACCCGAAGTGAACGGAGAAGTTCATGGAGGTAGGCCTAGGCCCACTGGGGCTGTAGTGCCAAGGGGAGAAAAAAGCTGCAGAATTAATATCTGTTCTAGGCTCTCCAGCGCGCACGAGTCCATTTTGCTTGCGAGTAAACATGGCTGCTCTCTCCCCCTGTACATTCATCAACAGCTCAGTCGAGGACGATTCTAGTGTAATTTTACTAGTTTATCCGGGTGTGAGGGCTGATATTACGCTCTTAGGATATCCGAGAACAAAATGCCGAGGAAGATGTTTGATCTAAGAGAGATGAAGTAACAAAACGAATAAATTGTGTATCAAGGAGCTTGATAATTTGTTCTCCTCGACCTGTTGCTGAGGACAGGAAAGATGCACAGGCCTGAGTATGTAGCACGTTTGGGAGAACTCGAGAACATTCTTTGTGGAAAACCTGACATACTTGCTAAGATGGTGGAATGATATTAAAATTAATCTTAGATGTATGAGGCGTGAATTATCGGATTGGTTTGACCTTGTTAATAATAAGGTTTTATGGTGAGGGTCATGTGAATTCGGTGATGAACCATCGAATTCCATGAAGTCAAGACATTTCGTGACCAGTTAATCAACGTTCAGCTGTTGAAAAAAATACCTGTACTATGGAGTATGTTTTTTTTTTATTTTTTTTATTGTTAGGATTACTAAGATTGCAGGATCGATCCCTGACGGGAAACTGAACATATCAAATCAGGTTCTTACCTTGGACAGATTTGCCGATGGAATACAATGCTGTGAGGTTAGGGAACTTGGATGAAGTTGTCCTCAGGAACTTGGTCAGCTTGTCATAGTTGTGGTACTTAAAGTCCAAAACATAGGACCCATCCTGATGATGGGAGTTGATGTTTCCTGTAGCAGCAGGTAGAGAATCGCTTCCACCGTAAAACTGGTTGTGATTGTTGTAACTTGGATCATAAGAATAACCAGGGCGGTAACTGTTTCCAACGGCACGGTCTAAGCCAACATTTCCAACTGCACGAAGAGATCCTGCACCCTCAGGATTGTACAGTTCAGTAGATTTACTTTCATCATTGAAATACGAAATAACACCCGGCCTTCCACCTGCGGTAGAAGAACTTTCGATACCACTTTCTCTGTCGCCACCAGCGCTACCGGGGTACAGGCTCGGGGACACATCTACTGTGCTGCCTATACCCACAGAGTGAAGCGAAGCACCTTGCTTTTCGTTGGTGTATGAATCAGCAATGCTTCCGACTCCTACCGATCTCAAGGAACCAGAAGGATCTGCTGTGTATGCAGAATCAACGCTAGTTCCGTCATGGAAAGTGATCTGGCTCGAACCCCTCTCAGCTTGCAGCTCCTCGGCGCGGATATACTGGACAGCCAACACGTAAAGGTAGAGAAATGCCACCACAAGCGTGGAGGCGTACCATGAAGACGGCTTCATGGTGTGGTGGCTCCTGAAACAAAAGGACGTCTCATTAATTTCCATGAGCTACCAAGAACTGATGTGGTAACATAACCTTCGGCCGCGCCATAGCTCAAGCACTTAGTCGCTGGCTTACCAACGCGGCGGCTCGGGTTCGATCCCGGGTATGTTCATGTGGGATTTGTGGTGGGCAAAGTGGCGCTGGGGCAGGTTTTCTCCGAGTACTTCGGTTTCCCCTGCCAATCTTCATTCCACCAATTGCTCCACAATCACCCTCACCTATCATCTGGGGCTGGTACAATAGGTCAGAAGTGGCCGCAGTACAAGGGACTTAGTCCCACCCCACTAACAATAAAAAAACATAACCTTAGAATTGACAGCCATCGGAATTATAATGCTACTTACAGCCACTGCTTATCTAGACATATGCACAACAGAACTGACTGACTGACTGACTGAACTAACTGAACCACTTATCAAACAATCTAACTATATTAAAATACTAAGTGAACTGGATATCCTAAGTAACTAAAGTAGGCCCTAACTAATTAACTGACTGGCCCAAATAATCTCCACACGAAAAACTACGTGGTACTAACATCGGGCTGAATATAATACATTTGTAAATACAGTATATTCGTACGTGCAAAAGATTTTGCACCGTCCACCCAACCGTTGTACGCAGTTGCAGTTAATCATACAACGTAGTTAATTTTAGCAACATTATTTCTATCTTATCGTTTATGTTCATCTTCCATGCGCATTTTCAAGGCTTTTCCGATTGTTTTTTCCTTCATGCGTGTTCACTTGTTTATTATTGTTTTTGTTATGTGTTGTTTTGTTTGATTCTGCTGATTAGCTCTTTTAATTTTTTGTTATCCACTTGTCATATACAGTACATAACTTTGAAAGATAATACTTAATTAAAGGGATGCATTCCACAATAATATCAGTTGGAAATGAAACAATTTTATCACAGTAATTTTGGACGACTGCCTCTATATATATCTGTATATCGTATATAAGCTTACAACTTAAGTTAACTCAAGTAACCACCAATATCTAATATAATGACAGCAGCTCCTCTAAAGGGAATACAATAAAGCCTGAAGATGACAAATATATTTGAAATATACCGTTAAAATAAAATCTATTGTATGATTAACCAAAACTGCGTACAAAGGTTGTGTTGGCCATACTCATATGCATATTAGTACTTTCAAACACAACAGATGCTCAATTACGGCACGGCATATATTGGCCAATAAGCNCTCACGGTGTTGTCGCTTGCAGATTTCTTATACTTTTTCTTCTACCCTGAAGATGGGGGCGATACGTTCCTCCGAAACGTCGGTTAACACCACATATACACGGTGCCAAATCCCAGAAGACTGCTTTCTTCATAGTCACCGCCGTGAAAGCCTCAAATCTTACAAAGCTAACATTTGTTCATGCACTGTGCTGATAAAACCTGCTCTTATTTGTGAGAAGCTGTCAGCTGGTATGAAAGCCAAAGGGTTAACCACAAAATTTCCGACCAACAAAAATATCGATAAATAGTGATGCTTTCAGATGGCAAAGCAATGATACAAATGATGTAGAGTTTTCTTGGTACTTCATATTGTTAAGCTGATGATAGCCGCTCCATAGCTCAAGCGGTTAGTTGCTGGCTTCCCACCGCGGCGGGCGGGGTTCGATTCCGGGTCTCGTCAAGTGGGATTTGTGGTGGGCAAAGTGGCGTTGGGGCGGGTTTTCTCCGAGTACTTCGGTTTCCACTGCCAATCTTCATTTCACCAAATTCTCCATCTTCGTAATCACCCGGGGCAGTCTACAATAGGCCAATCAGTGGCCGTCTTGCCGAGTGGACCCAGCTGGACTCCACCCCCCACTAAGCGAATTAAAAAAAATAAAATTGTTAAGCTGATAAACGAATTTCCTTCCTATATGCAATCCCGATAATTCACAAAATGGACCGAGCGCATGATTTCAAGTCTTATTTTTCTAAGATCAATTTTAATAGTACTCTCAAAAGTCAGTGAGTAGACACGGGTTTGGACAGATAATTGGATTTATTGAACGCTTATATCTCGTAACTGCAAATAATTGTAAAACTCTCACTAATCTACATACTCTACAGCTCGCTACTGCAGGTACTAAGCCTCCTTCGTCTTCATCAGTCGTTGCTTGATAACGGAGTTTAACAATGTAACTCAAGACTATGGATTGGTAATCGCCAACTTTGACCTCCGACTTCTGACCGTCGATTTCCGACTCGCGTCTCACGACTTCCGGCACGTCATTTATGGCTGACTTCCAGTCCAATCCAGTAAATTGCTGCTGGGCATAGCCAGCACAGTCGTTTTTGGCCTTACTTCTGCGTGTTTCGAAATGAGTCTCCTCTTAGAGTCTCCTCTGTCTACTACTGGTCACTCCCTCTCTACCGGGGAGTAGCCCGCTCAGGTTTCTCAAGAAGATTTTCCCTCTGTAAGAATTTCGCATGCCGGCCACGGTAGCCCAGCGGTCTAAGGCATGCACTGTCTTCGCTCGTTCGGAAGCCGGGATCGTGGGTTCGAATCCCACTCAGGACATGGATGTTTGTGTGCGTTTTTCTGTGTTTGTGTACAGGTAGAGGCCTTGCGACGAGCTGATCACTCGCCCAAGGAGTCCTACCGTATATGTAAGATCTAGAAAAACCGAAGTGAACGGAGTTCATGGAGGTAGGCCTAGGCCCACTGGGGCTGTAGTGCCAAGGAAAAAAAAATAATTTCGCATTTGCCCCTTCCATGCTACACGTTCTGGACATTACTCCCCCTTCATTAAATAGCAACGGCATCAGGCGCAGAGAACAAAGCACGAAGCTGCTTATATAAGCCTATCAGTTCCTTTGTTACTATATCTCTTTTAGATCCAGATATATCTTCAGCGCTTTGTTCCCAAACGTCCTCAGTTTTCATCCTTCCATTAGGTACGACTGAGGAGTCGAGGTTCGATTCCCAGACCGGCCCTAAGACCCACTCATCCTCCTATACAATGGAAACCGTAAGCTCTTTCCTCGAGGGTAAAGGGGCAGAGGCGTGAAGCTGACCACTCAACCCATCTGGTGCCTAGGTTAAGAATAGCGGAGCGTCACTCCCCCATATCTCTTCACGGCATGAAGCTTGATTAATTAAGCGCAGGGATAACTTTAGCTTTACCTTTACTTTGTCCTTAGGAACAGTCAAGCCTCACACAAGAACCAAATGGCAATTCTGTAACCTGCAACATCTGAATCCTTTGGAATAACAAGTCGAAGCGACGAGTGTTTTAAGGTAAAAAAGGTAAAGTTGTCCCTGTGCTTAACTAATTAAGTCCTTTGCCATGAAGGCGTATAGGGGAGTGGATGCGTAGATCCACATTTTCTTGACCTCGGCACTGGTTAGAGATGAGTGGTTAACTTCACGTCACGGCCGCTTTACCCCCGGAGAAAAACTCTGGTACCGATCGTATGAAGGCTAGGTAGTCCCCAGAGCCAGTCTGGGCGACGTGGAGAAGAGAAAATTCTTGACCGTACCGGGACTCGAACTCCGACCCATTACGGGCTTAGGCTGCAGGTTCGAATCGGCCTTAAGGCATGAATGTTTTTGTGCATTTGTATTTGGCACCTCCTGGCTGTCCCATCACACTAGTCCCCTCGACCTTGGTTTATGAACCCCGATTTGTGATTCCCGGGATTGATAGAACCTTTGAAATCCTGTAAGAATCTTTCTGTGAGGGGGGAGGATTATCTATTTTTATAGTCGCAAATATTGGTTTCTCATTCTGGAAGATGAACAGAGACAGAGCATAATGTTGAGGTGAATATTTGGTAGCAAGTGGATTCTTTTGACTTCCACCAGATCTGACCCCACAGTCCTCCACAAGACACTATGCTTCTCCAACGGGAAGTCAACTGTGAGTATAAATATGATGTAACCATTGCGTCGTGCTTGATAATTCTGAACCTCACCCCCACCGCTAGCGTACGCTTTGACGTCGAAGCTTGTTTCCTTATAATGTCATTGTATTGCGTGGAGGCGAACGGCAGGGCAGTAGAATGCTTACAGGAATTGGGAAGAGACTGTCAGAGTCTCTTCTAGGTCTGCACTGTTTGAATGGCTTCAGTGTGAAGTGCAGATAAAAGTTCAAACGCGCTGTGAGCTGCACTCGTCCAAGGGATCGATATGAGACTCTCCTCACTTCAAGCGGATTACTCAAATTTCAACAAATAGGCCGAGAGACGTCCACTCAGCTTCAGTGATTGGTGTGTTAACAGCTCGAATTCCTATATCGTGAGTCTAATGAAAAGAAAACGCCGAAACTTTGGTAAATATCCACCAAACTACAGGGCATCACATCCTAAGAAACATCTTCGCAATTGGTGCCCCGAGAACCTGAAATCTCACAACGGAATGCTTCTTAAATAAACTATCTGAAACCCATTTTTCCGCCGCGTAATCATTTTCCGTTGTTGGGCCAGTGTGTGTGCGTGTTATACGAATTCGATAATATGGACATGAGTTAAATCAGTACATGTGAAGTAATTATTCCTCGACTTGTTTGCGAGTGATAATTCAGTATGTCACAAGTATACAGTTTAATTTCTCATGTAAGCACGACACTAAATCTCGTAATGGGGAATTGACTGGGAGACGGTATCATTAGGTTTCGCTACTTTTACCGTCAGTCGGAGAGACTTACTTCGTCCTTTGTGCATTTGAACTCGCAGAGTAATTAGTAATTACAATAAGCGTACCGTAACAGAATCTATGACCTTGAAGATTCCTGTAACAGACAGTGAATTGTGTGATGAAATATGGATAGAAAATGTATTACATTCGTCTTCACATGTTCGGACAGTACGAACAAAAACATTCTGCGGACAACTTCAGCTGCTTCAGAACTGCAGGGTGCATCCCGAAATCTTACTGAGGTGTGTCTAGGAATTGAAAGCGGCCATTTTAGTGTCTCCTTTAATGGTGAGTCATATATTCAAATTTACAGCAGTTGTGAGGTCTTGAATATTAATTGTGGAACTCCGCTTTACTGTTGTTCAGCAAACTCACTTTCCTGTAGCTCACTGCGTCATTTGCTGAGGACAATGTTTACAGGTATTCACTAATCACTGTAGGACATAAATATAAACATAAACATTTTAAGAGAGTAAGGACTATATAGGCCGCGCCATAGCTGAAGCGGTTAGTCACTGGCTTCCCACCGCTGCGGCCCGGGTTCGATCCCGGGTTTGTTCAAGTGGGATTTGTGGTGGACAAAGTGGCGCTGGAGCAGGTTTTCTTCGAATACTTCGGTTTCCCCTGCCAATCTTCATTCCATCAATTGCTCCACAATCAGCCTCACCTATCATCTGGGGCTGGTACAATAGTCCAGAAGTGGCCGCAGTACAAGGGACTTAGTCCCAACCCATTAGCAATAAAAAAAAGGACTACGTAGCTTCTCCCTTCTCTAGTATGTCAGTCTACCATCGACTACATCGCCTTTTATAATTTAACATTTTTCTGCTTAAAGTAATTTGTGATTATGCATACTACAGTGAGCATTGAACCCCTCTATTCTGAATGGGAGAAGCCATCCTTGATGAAGCAACTTTTATGGAATCGTGAATTTGTCTTTGAAGCTGTTCTGATTTCTGTTTGAGTGTTCAGATGTTGTAGAGGAATGGGGACAGTAGGTTTTGAGTGTGTTAACGTTTATATCTGTCTGACAGGGGTACGCGGTAGCGTAGTTGGTTGAGGCACTATGCTACAAGCCGGAAGGTCGCGGGTTCAAGTCCCGATGAGGTCATTGGATTTTTTTCAATTGACCTAATCCTTCCGGCCGCACTATGGCCATGGAGTCGAGTCAGCCTCTAACAGAAATGAGTACCAGGAATTAATTTTCCTCGGGAGTAAAGCGCGGCCGGCGCGTAAAGCTGATAACCTTACCGCCATCTTTGAGCCGATTGTCGAAGTCTCACAACCCAATGGGCCTTCAAGGCCTGTTACAGGGATAGATTTACTTTATTTTTTTTCTTTTTTATCTGTCTGACATATATTAGCACAATTTCTCCGACTGAATAGTTTTAATTTTAACAGTTTTGAATTTATTTTATGAAAATAGTACAGTCGCTTACCGAAAAAAGCTACCGACATGCACACCGAAGTAGAGTTTCACAGACGTCTAGCTTGAGGCGACTACGAAAAATTATGGTTCAAAGAAACCCATCCTCTTCGTTTAACACTTCTGTTCTTTGAGGTTAAATAAAAACCAGGGAATTCCAGGCGTAACTCATAAAGACCGTTTCCTATTGCATATGCGTCTAGTCGCATAAATTTTGTGTTGCTTCTGTTATTTTTTCTCATGGGATGAGACTGGATCCACTTGGTATTGCGGCCACTGTTGGCCTATTGTACAGGACTCATCACCATGGTGATGGTGATGGTGATTATTGAGCACCTGATGGAATGCGAATTGGCAGGGGAAACAGAAGTACTCGGGGGAAAAACTGCCCCAGCGCCACTTTGTCCACCAAAAATCCCATTTGACCACACTCGGGATCGAACCCGGACCACTGCGGTGGGAAGCCAGCGACTAACCACCTGAACTATGGCATCTTCTTGCTGCCCCCATACTAATGAGCTAAATAATTTTAAACATATAACAAATTAAATTCAATTTTGCTCATGGGCCAGCGTGGTGGACTCGTGCGCAGGTGGTCATGAAAAAGAATCCTGATCTAGTCAAATCCTTGTTGCTTGCAGTTATAAGCATATATGTTTCAGGTTACATAATTGATATTATTATTATTACTATCATTATATTATTATCATATTTTAAGGATACTTGTTTCTTAAGTATAGAGTTTACATATATTCAATTTGTGGGCATAACCTCCAAATTTCCCATCTTTCTCATGTTTGAAACTTTTGACTTAGAATGTATTAAGTATGTTTACGGTATATCTGCGTATCAAAATTCACATTGTTGACGCTAGTGGTTCAATAGTTATTTTTGTGAAACCCAAAACTGTGTATGTGCCTACATTTCATTCAGCCGCCATTTTGTTGCTTTGCATCATGCAGAACAATTATCTGAAGAAATGATACACGTTTTGAAAGATTGTTTATATTACAATACATCATTTCACGAAGCTAGATTAAGTGGGGACAGTGTAGCTCCCACCTCAGAAATTTGCGATTTCGTCATTCTCTTATTATCGACTATAGAAAATTAGAAGGTACTACGTTGAGGTGTACAATAATGGCATAATGTCTGTACCAAATTTCGTAAAAATCCGTGAAATAATTCAGACGTTCAAATGGGGAGGTGTTGGGACATAGATATTCAGATAGTCTTACACACATGACATTGTGATCTCATAAGCCTACTTCATGAACGGAAACTAGACCAAGCTTCGACTACCTGGGCAATAATGTGTGAATATAATTTTTTTTTAATTCGCTTAGTGGGGGGTGTAGTCCAGTTGGGTCCACTCGGCACGGCGGCCACTGATTTGCCTATTGTACCTGCCCCGGGTGATTATGATGATGGAGAATCTGGTGGAACGAAGATTGGCAGGGGAAACCGAAGTACTCAAGGAAAACCTGCCCCAGCGCCATTTTGTCCACCACAAATCCCATTTGACCAGACCCGGGATCGAACCCGGACCGCTGCGGTGGGAAGCCAGCGACTAACCGCTTGAGCTATGGCGCGGCCGAATATAAACTTGGTACTAAGGAATATCCTTGCTTAGAATAACTATACACAACCATGGCAAATTTCTATACCGGTAACTTCGCCTGGAGAATTGAAACTGAATGTGAAATATTTCAGTTTGAAATGAATGCTCTCTGTTGACTTTCTAAAGCAACATACTCTGTTTGTCGCATTGATACATTTTTCATGTTTATTCTTTCCCTGGATGCGTAATGGAACTGAGTGGGTGAATAATAATTGTCCTCATTCCCTTCCGTAACTAACCACCGGGTGCATGTCATACAGTGATTTCGGAGCTGAGGTTGTCAAGCTGCGTTTTTGGCACCGTTCCCTCTGCCACGTACTGACAGGATACAGATCGTCGGTTAGCTTCGTTCTCTTATACACACGTTCATATAAACCTTACGCACGCAGTGTACTTGCTGGGGACGAGAAACGTTCCACACACTTAGAGTAATTACAGTTCACATGTGTAGAACCTTACAATGCAGTGAGCATTAATTAACCCTCATATGGCGCAGCGATGACGTCAGTTACGACAGATTTATTGGGTATTTTTACGCCTATAAACCTAACATAATGCAAATCAAAATACAATGCCGTTATTTATTGAAAGTGTTTCTGTGGTCTAGTGGTCAGAGTTCCTGGCTACAAATCCAGAGGTCCGGGTTCGATCTCCGGCGCTACCAGATTCTCTGAGAAGTAGTGGGTCTGGAACGAGGCCCACTCAGCCTCATGAGGATAATTGAAGAGCTATTTCAAGGAAATAGCGACTCCGGTCTAATAAACCGAGATTAACGGCCTTGGTGATTTCGATGCGCTGACCACGCGACACCCTCTATCCGCTAAAGTTGGCACTAACTTCTCCGACAAGCGGCGGTCGCTCGGTCGGTATAGTTCGCTTGCGGACTAAAACCAGGGAGTTTTTTTTACTTCCTTCTGTCTTACAGCAACATGGAACACTTCTAGACACCTGCAATATATCAATAGTTATTTGCTATATTTAGAAAGCATGTTTAATCAGTATTTTTGTAAAACTTGCGTGCAACATTCTGAATTAAATTTAGTTTCACAGAATTGCGATGTGCATTTTGCTTATGGAGGAATGCCAAATTCGGGCAAATACATGAATACTAGGAAGCACGCAGTAGCGTAGTTGGTTGGGACACTATGCTACAAGCCCGAAGATCGTTTGATTCCTGACAAGGTCATGGAATTTTACAATTGACGTAATTCTTCCAGCCGCAATATGGCCCTGGGGTCGATTCAGCCTCTAGCAGAAATGAATGCCAGGAATCTACCTGGGGGTAAAGGACGGCCGGCGCTTAAGGCTGACAACCTCACTGCCATCTGTGAGCCGATTGTCTAGTAAAATATGGGATCCTCGACGTGTCACAAACCTATGGACCTCCACAGCCTCTTATAAGGAAAGCTTTGTTTGTTTACGCGAACACTTGTTATGCTGTCAATTATTCGATCAGTTAATCACCAATATCCCAGCTCATGACTATTTTTCCCTAATGCAGCATTCCAAATTAAACATGAAATTCCCCTTGTTTCATTCAATATTTTCTGCCTTGCTTACTACCATCATTGTTTAGTTCGATAGGTCGCTTATTGCTGTTTGTGCCGAGCCTGGTAACCGATTTCTCAATAACTCGTGTTAGTTTCCTGACATTCGCATGCAATGCTTTATGTGGGGTGACATCTGGAAGTGACTGCAATTGTTAATCGCCCGCAGAACGGAAATGAGGCCATTGGAATGACAAAGGAAGGTACAGTTTTTTTCTGATAAGGAGAGGAACTCTGTTGTTCACGCAGCAGTGTCGGCAGGAAACAAGATTTGGAAGGTCTGCGGTTTTGTATAAGCCCGCCATATTGGACTTCATGTCCATTTATTTTATATATGACCTAATAACAAACATCACAAATGCGAAACGTTACTGACATGATAGTATATTCACTTTATTACAGAAAGTACGTACTTAATCCAACGGTAGTAGGCCTTAATGGACTCCAGATTTTACATTGCTTTTACCGTAAGCCAGAATCTAAAGAGATACATTTATATGTGAAAATTTCTCTCTTCTGGGACGTAATGCTGTGCTGTCTGTTGAAAGTCATATCCCGGAAGATAGACCTGTTTATAACTACCGCTGTCACAACCCCAAATTCTATATATTTACATGTAGTTTGAGTTGATCATATAAAGAAAGACTTATATTGGACAGATGCGGACTAAATTATATTAATTTCCAAAGCTAAA